ATAAATAGCCAAGTAAGAAAATTAAACTTACCAGAAAAGTTAAAAGTTTGTTTGTTCTCAAAACCACAAGAAATAAATGTGCCATCAAAGAGAAATTTATCCGTTACCAGTTGTAAGCAGTCCAGAGAGGTTTCCAGTGGCCCCATAAATGGTATACAGGACATCTACGCAGCTTCCAACAAGGAAAAATTCAAATTAGCAAATACCAGGTACCTAAAATAAAAATAAAGTGCACTATAAACAAAACATATAGCTATAACCTGTATGCAATTATTCATTAACTGTAATCGAAAGGTCACATACCCACATTCACGTTTATGGTTTATTACATCCAATTAAATATCTTGTAGAAGGAGGTTTATTTTCGATAGTTTTATTATAGGGTACAGCCAAAATGATGACAGATACAAAAAATCTGATATCGATGTTCCGTCCTCTTTTTTTGAGTTTACTTCGTTGGTACCAAAAGATCTTGTTTCTGTAATATCGGAAAAACTGTGCGATTTGTAAAAAATCTGGGTACGCCATTGGCTTCCTCATAAAAAATAGAACTAATAATAATCTTTTTTTCTCCTAAATTTAATGACAACAGAGATACAGAGGTTAATGTAAATGGGCGATATTTTAAAAAAACCTATATATCTAAAACTAATCAAGTTAGCCAAGATCTTTTGATACCAGCGAAGTAAACTAAAAAAGAGGATGTAATATCGATATAAGACTTTTTGTATTTATCACCTTGGCTGTACCCTATAAAATTATCGAAAATCAAGTCCTTTTTAATTTAGCATAAAAATTATTTAATTTTCTTTCCAACTATAAATAATAATAATATCTCTACTGCTCATTCCAAATACGAGAATTAGTCCATAAGCCCACTTGAGCGGGAGAGGAGGCGGCATATTATTATTATTAAGTAAGGCCGCATTTGCGCTCAGGAACGACTTTTGTTGGTAGGCTCTAACCACTATTCAGTGCAGGAATGAGGGAAATCTGGAAAACCTCATTAATTAGGGGGGTGGTCAAATCCGGTGTCAATCTCTCACATTGACCCAAGCCGACATTCTTCCACCCTACCATACTTGCACAGAGGGTGCCAATCCTCCGTACAAGCATAGCTACTAGATTCGGCTATTATGCCATCTTCAGGGAAGAAGAAAAATGACGATCATTTGAAAAGAAATTGCTTCATAAGGTATTAATAAATACCATTTTAATGCGTTCAAACTTCAATCTATTAATAATGACCTAAAAAGCTTTTTATTTATTTTTTATTATTTACTGATATTTTACATTTCAACAAACTATAATGTTATATTTATTAATACTTTATGAAACAATTTTTTTTGCAAAGATTATTTTTGGCATAATAGCCGATGGAAAGAGAATTAAAAAATTATATAATGAATTAAAAAGAACTCTATTTTTCCCCAATTACTTCTACTGCTATTCAGTATTATAATAGATTTTCGTCAAGAAGTTAACCATATTGTCTACAAAATATTAAATATTTGGGTAGAAACTAGAAATATTTAATTTTTCATGGGAATTATTTAGTATACTGTAATTTAATTTAGATAAACTGGCTGACGATGTTCAGTTGTGTATAAAAATAGATATACAGGGTAGCCCATCGAAAACGTACCGCAGGGCATTACAGGGTAGTAAAGAACTTTTCGGCAAAATCCAAAAACAGGTCAAATTTGTTTCTGAGGGGGACAACTTTTGGCTCAAAAAGCATACCAAAATCTTCAACCCCCTAAGTGGGGGTGCTATCCCCTAAATTTTTTCAAATGGGAATGGGGGTCAAGTGGGGGGTCATTAGAAAGGGCTTTTAATTCTCTATACATCGATTCTTACTTTTTGAAAATCGATTCATTATTTTAGAAAATATGCAGCATTGAAAATACGAACAATATTTTTGACGAGAAATGCGAAAATCGATTTAATTTTACTTCAAAACTTACGGTATTAGTCAACTAAATGCTGAAAATGTTGTCCGCCAACTTGCATACAATGATACAGGTTGTCTTCAAACCGTTGTCGAACATTCTGGAGCACTTGCGGTGTTACTTCGCGACATACATTAATGATTCGTCCTCGCAGATCTTCCAAGCTATCAGGTGGAGTGCTGTAAACTTTGCTTTTAATGTGCCCCCAGAGAAAGAAATCTAAAGGATTTAAGTCGGGTGACCGAGGGGGCCACTCAATTGCACCTCTTCGTCCTATCCAGCGTCCTGGAAACGTCTCATTTAGGTAATTGCGTACATTGAGCGAGTAATGTGGAGGAGCTCCGTCTTGCTGGAAAATCAGTTCGTGTTCATTGTAAGCACGGTCGTCCTCTATGATATTTGTTAGAGCTGGGTCGATGACATTTTGTAGTAAATCCAAGTACATATCGCCTATCAAATTTCCAGGAAGGAAAAAAGGACCTACAATGGAATTTCCAAAAATACCTGCCCATACATTCAACTTCTGGGGGTGTTGGGAGTGTGTCTCATGGAAAATCCTTGGATTGGTATCAGCCCAGTAACGACAATTATGGCGATTTACTAAACCATTCAAGAAGAACGTACACTCGTCCGAAAAACGCACATTAAAGGGGAAATTATCGTTTATCGCTCGTTCAGTCATTATTTCGCAAAATTGTAAACGACGATCAAAATCGTCTTCATTTACCTCTTGCACTAGCCGAATCTTATAAGGATGGAATTTGTATTTTTTTAATATTCGTTGGACACTTGTACGACTCTCTCCTGTCGCAGTAGCCAATTGCATTGTACTCAGCATTGCCACTTGCCCCAATACCGCTATTTCCGTAGGTTCATTTAGTACCGGATTTTCAACCTGCCTCTTTTTGTTATGAACGGAGCCAGTTTCGCGAAATTTGGCCACCAATTCGCGAACAATTTTTCCAGACGCATGTTTCTCAGGATACCGTTGGTTGAACAGTTCTGCGACCCGATTTCCGCATTCATTGTTTTTGAAAAAAAGCTCAATAATTTCTATTATTTCTGGAATTGAGTACACCATAATTAATCAATTTAAAAGACTCGGCAGTATTGGTACTCTTCAACTACAAGACAGTTATCTAGCAACTTCTTGTGGCTTATCTAAATACGAAACAAAAAGCGCACAATATTTTGAAGTTTTGAAGTAAAATTAAATCGATTTTCGCATTTCTCGTCAAAAATATTGTTCGTATTTTCAAAGCTGCATATTTTCTAAAATAATGGATCGATTTTCAAAAAGTAAGAATCGATGTATAGAGAATTAAAATCCCTTTCTAATGACACCCTACTTGACCCCAATTCCCATTTAAAAAAATTTGGGGGATGGCACCCCCACTTAGGGAGTTGAAGATTTTGCTATGCTTTTTGCGCCAAAAGTTGTCCCCCTCAGAAGCAAACTTTACCTGTCTTTGGATTTTGCCGAAAAGTTCATTACTACCCTGTAATGCCTTGCGGTACGTTTTCGATGGGCTACCCTGTATAAGTAAATCAATTAGTACAATAAATTAATACAAGATGATCATCGTTATCCAAAGTCTGGTCGAAAATGGAGTATCGATTTAAATAGGTTTACCTAAAAGGTGCTTCAAATTTATCGGTACACTAAAGAAATGATCCTATAAATAATTTTATATGGAAGTTGATCAAGATGTAATGGATGTAGTATTTTTCTACATTCTATTGAAATTGAGTTTCCTAAAAGGTTTTGAACTGTTTCTATTGATTGATTTAAAAATAAGAGAATGAATTTTTTATAAATTGCGTTTTAAAAATTTTCAATCTGCTCCTGTGTGAAATCGTTGTTTATTTTACTATATCTACTTTTACAATGAAGGTAACTAGTAAGTTATTAGGAATAAATACTTATTTTTGTTTAAATTTTTATATTAATTAAAGCTGTAAAGTCAGTAATAATAAAGTAATTGTTGAAACTTGCAACATGCAGCAAGAATTAGGGGAGGCCGTGGCCCTGAGTATAAATTTAAGATGAGAAAATTTTGGCTTCTGCTAGATAAAATTTTCTTAAAACTTTCTTTTTGACTTAAACATACATCTACATATCTTCCAATATTACAGTTTCTATCTACTTTAATGAAATCAGGGAAACTCCGCTCGCTGTATTTGACTTTATTAGTTATAGTTCCGTAAAGTTTTGTTTGTATAAATCAAATTCTTACTGTTTTACTTGGCTCAGTGCCCCAAATGGTTTGCGCCTTGGTTTATTATTCACCGTTATCATACACTGACTTAAATTATACAGAGTGAATCAGATTTAACATGGGATCCCGCAATATCCGATAGTACTTTAGAAAATAAAATAGTTTTTTTTTTAATGAACATTTTTCTAGAAATATGAGTGATAAAATTTAAACAAGAAATTTATTGTTTTTTGTATTTCCAAATTTAACGGAGAAATTAAAATTAAATTGGTACAGGTCATAAGATAGGTTGCTTTAATATCAGGGTAATATCAAGCCCCCTGAACAATCAGCGGTGGATATATAAATAATTGCGTTCATTAATTTAATAAAAAAAGTAGTAGCGCACCGTACCAACTCAAAATTTTTCACATTCATTTTCATGGAAACATGAATGTTCGAAATATAAAAGAAGAATATCCCTTGATATTTTTATATACGGTGTATATAAATAACACCGAAAAAATGTAAGGGGTGATTCTCATAAATATTAATAGCGGTCTTTGTTATAAAATTTATTCAAAAACTCTCCCTTGAAAACTTACGCCCCTCCAAAAATTTCAGAAAGGAATTGTTTTTCTTTTTTATCTTCCATGTATATCAAGCTAAAGAAACCAAACTTGGTGAACATTATCTGTCAAGAAAACTACACTTTTTGAAATGAATGAATTTATTGGGTACACCAGGAAATAAACAGTATAATACAAAAATATCACAATACCAAACATCCAATATATAACAGTGGGATCGGGACCGATATGTAATAATATTGCAAGGTGGCATGTGTCAAATGAGACGTCAATGTCGGATCCACTTTGAAATCATAACGGATTATAATCCGCAAGTAAGAACCTACAGAGATCCAAAAAGAACTGACTGGGACTCCTATAGAACGGAGTTACAGGCCAGGACTAGGGAAATCTGTACAAAACTAAGGAACACATATGATCTTGAGAGGGCCGTGGAGGAACTCCAAAACGCCGTCACAAGATCATATGAATACAGCTGTCCTATCAAAGTGAGGTCCGATAAGCACACCGTACCCTGGTGGAGCAAGGAACTCACGCAGTTGAGGGGACAGACAAGAAAACTATTTAATAGAGCAAAGCGGACAGGAGAGTGGGAGACTTATAGAGCAACCCTCACTGAGTATAATAAAGAAATTAGAAAAGCGAAGAGAGACTCATGGAGGAAGTTCTGTGAGGATATTGATAGTGTCCCACAGTGTGCTAAACTCCAGAGACTTCTCTCTAAGAACGGACATACGAAACTCGGGTCTCTCAAAGCACCGAGTGGGGAATATACCAAAACTGGAAGGGAGACATTGGAATTACTTCTAAATACTCACTTTCCAGGCTCCAGGTTATTAAATCATGGAGATGAATATGACTGGAATCACCAGCAGAGGGTAACGACCGGGTCTCGACAGAACTGGGAGGTTGCCAAGACGGTGGTGAGTCAGTCACGAATAAGATGGGCAATAAGTTCTTTTGACCCATTTAAATCACCAGGAGCCGATGGAATCCTACCTGTACTGCTACAGCAGGGGGTGGACTGTCTAGCTCCGGTCTTAATTCACGTCTTCAGAGCCAGCATTGCACTTGGTTATATACCGCTGGCATGGAGATCGACGAACGTGGCGTTTATTCCTAAACCAGGGCGTCCATCGTATGCCCAGGCAAAGGCATATCGCCCGATAAGTTTAACATCTTTCCTCCTGAAAACGTTGGAGAGAATAGTTGACAGGCATATAAGGGACGGGGTATTGAGGGCAAATCCTCTGCACAGGTACCAATACGCCTATCAGGCAGGCAGATCAGTCGACACAGCCCTTCATAGCCTAGTCTCTAGGATAGAGAGGGCAATGGACGACAAAGATCTAGCTTTGGCAGCTTTTTTAGATATTGAAGGGGCATTTGACAATACACCTTTCGAATCTATTAATTCGGCAGTTCGCAACAGGGGCCTTGAAGACACTTTGTGTCGTTGGATAGATACCATGTTGAGAAACCGGACAGTAACAGCTACCCTTTCGGGAGAGACATCCAGGTGTAAGGTAGGCCGGGGCTGCCCCCAGGGAGGCGTACTGTCTCCCTTGTTATGGGGATTAGTGGTGGACGGCGCACTGGAGGGCCTTAATCGAAAGGGATTTTATACACAAGGCTATGCGGACGACTTGGTCGTTCTCATAGTCGGGAAACATAATATTATCGTTTCAGAACTCATGAAAGAGGCTTTGAAATGGATAGATGACTGGTGTAAGGGGCAGGCACTGTCAGTAAACCCTGACAAAACGGTCGTAGTACCCTTCACCAGGAGAAGAAATTTAACTGGACTCTCTGAACCTATAATAGGGGAGAGGGGCATTACATTTTCCAGGGAAGTAAAATATCTAGGAGTGATACTGGATAATAAGCTTACCTGGAATGCGCACTTGGAAAAAGTGGTGAGTAAGGCGAAGCAGACATTGTGTGTATGCCGCCGCCTTATTGGGAAAACCTGGGGACTGAAACCAAAGATGTCACACTGGTTGTATACGTCGATAGTAAGACCCAGGATTCTTTACGGCGCTGTGGTATGGTGGCAGAAAACACAACAGACCACAGCGAAGGAAAAACTGAATAGAATTCAGAGATTGGCCTGTTTAGGTATAACGGGGGCGATGGCATCGACCCCGACAGCTGCACTAGAAGTCATGCTAAATCTGCCACCGCTGCATATAGTGGTGGAGAGAGAAGCGCGGCTAGCAGCATATCGACTCAGGAATAATAATGACTGGAGGGGTGGTTCCCACTCCAGGATCAAAGATACATCTATGTCGGAACCAATTCTTGGGATGGTATCCGACAAGATGGTTCCAAAGTTTCACTTCCACAAGCCATTTGAGACTCGAATAGAGGATCAAAGCGAGTGGGAGGAAAGGTTTAATACCCTGGAAAGGTGGAGCCTAGTATGGTTTACAGATGGCTCCAAAATGACCAGAGGGACGGGTGCAGGAATATATGGACTCAGACCCAGATGGAGTGCAAGCTACAGTCTGGGGGAGTTCCCTACTGTATTCCAAGCAGAAATCTTCGCGATAATGGCGTGTCTGGCAGAGAATGTACGTAGAGGTTATAGACGTAAACTCATATATATATTCTCTGATAGTCAAGCTGCAATTAAAGCTTTAGCCGCACACAAGGTAAGTTCAAAACTGGTGTGGGACTGTTTACAAATGCTGACTGAACTGGCCACCAACAATACAGTCAGACTGTGTTGGGTGCCAGGGCACAAAGGCATTTGTGGAAATGAGAAAGCGGATGAACTTGCGAGGAAGGGATCCGAGACAGTGTTCATTGGCCCGGAGCCCTTCTGTGGCACATCTCCCAGTGTGGTCAGGCGGGCTCTGGGCAAATGGACAGAGACAGAACATAGGAAATACTGGACTTCAAGGCCAGGACATAGCCATTCCAAGGAGCTTATGGAGTATCCTTCGAATGGAAGAGCGAATGAGTTACTGAGCTTGAATAGAATCCGGCTCAGGAGAGTGACAGGACTCATAACGGGACACTGTCACTTTAAGAAACATCTACATAGACTAAAGCTTGTAGACAGTCCGGTCTGCCGAGGATGTGAATCGGCGGATGAAACTTCTCTGCATATCCTGGGCGAGTGCCCGGGATTTGCACGTAGCAGAATGGCGCTCCTTGGGAGACCCTATTTGGAACCCAAGGAGCTGAGAGAAGTGTCAGCAAGGAAGCTTTTGGACTTTGTAAAAAGGACAAATCTACTTGCTGAATAGGACTAGTAGTGGGACGCACAATAGGCCTAATTAGGCCGCAGTGCTATGGGACTTTTAAAGGACCAACCACTAGATAAAGAAGAAGAAGAAGAAGAAGAACATCCAATAAGCCTAAAAACATATTTAGTGATATACAGGGTGTCCCGAAATTCATGCAACAAATTTTGATCATAGATTCTTAAGACAAATTTAGGGGACCCGTATTTTTTCTTTTTGTCAACTGGCCCCCTCTTTCGGAGTTACAGCCCCCTGAAATCATATATCAGGCCAAAATAATGAATGAAAAGTACAAAAAATTTCTAATCGTGTTATAACTGCTATGACTACACCAAAAATATGAATGTATTTTTATCAATTTATCAGAATTTTCTGAAAGATGTTGAAGGACAGTATGCCAGAAGTGACTAGTTATAAGAAATAAAATTCCAAAATCCAAAGGCAAGTATATCAACTAGCTTGAGTTGACCAAAGTTTTCCGTAATATAAGCTTTAAGTTCTCTTTTCAAAACAGATTTTTTTGAGATAGTTTTCATTCTTTTAGGTAATAAATTAAATAATTTAGGACCAATATATGATGAATATCTCAGAGAATGACTTTTTTTGCATAGAAGAATGTTTGCAGAAACATTGGCCACAACACGAGTATTATATGTACTCGTTGCGTAAAACATATCAGAATTAAAAAAACCTTAGTAAACACCGGTAAGAGGACAACTGTTTCAAACTAAACACTTTAGCTTATTTGTATATCATTTCAGTGGAGTAAAGTCTGTCTTTTTTTAGAATGATTTTTAATATACTATTTTGTATAACCTCTAGTTTATGCATTACTGATTTATATGCTCCACCCCAAACAGTTATACAATAATCATTACAGACAAAGTTTCCAACCCTGAAGAATTTTTGTAAGGGGTTGAAATAATCAACCGCTGTGACATTTTTTCTTATATTTTTTTTCGATAAAATCATCAGTATCAATTTTCATTGTGTGACTCGGAATTATCTATGATCATTTAATTGGTCCGTATTTTCTTCCACGACGATTATATGGTGACTGATATTGTCATCTTCTCGAAGAATTACCTATTCTTCTTGAAGAAGTTCCCATTCAAATTAGGCAACATTTATGGTTTATGCACCACGGTGCCCCAGCCCACGTTAGTCATTTGGATGAGATGTATGCCAATCGATAGATCGAGGAGAATATGTAAATTGGCCAGCCCGCAACTTAATCCTTTGGATTTTTGCATCTGAAATCTTTAATTTATTCAAGGTCAGTTGAAGGTATCGATGATTTGCGAAACCTCATTGTAGCAGGGTGTGAGACGATAAAAAATTCACCAGGAATATTTTAACGCATGCGCAATTCTATGACAAAAAGAGTATATGCTTGTATTGAAGCTGCCGCCAATCATTTTCAACATTTTTTGTAGATTATATTGTTCATATTCAACAGATTTTTATTTTTTGTTGCTGTACATTAGGTACTTTATTCGTCATTTGTTCATTTATATTCTTAGTTCCAAACTAGTAGAATCATAGGTCTAGATATTATTTAGTTGACTGTTCTTTAATAAAATTCTATTTAATATGAGCTCTATTGTTTTCCTGTTCTTTCCTGTGTCCACTTAGACGCTGCAGTTGTAATTCTATGCCAGTCGAGATATTAGCTGGCGGACTGTCAACAGTCTTCGCCCCGAGATGGCGGGCACCACATACATCTCACGAATAAAACTAATGTTCAGTAATTTGGAAACAATAAATTTGAAGAAGTTAGGCCGCAATCAATACATTTTTAATTATTTCTTACAATACACTCGCGTTAAACAACTCATCTTTTTAAAAATACATTGCAATACATTTATTTTTTTCTCATAAATCCTTAACTTTTCGAAGAAACTCGAAGAGACCAAAAAGATAGTAAATGAATGGGGCGTTTTAGATATATTTAAAAGAAAAATTATCGAAAAAGAATTGTAAGAAAAAATGTTTGATTGATTATTTCAACCCCTTACAAAAATACTTCAAGGTTGAAAAAATTTCATAAAGTCTAGTTTTTTTGACAGATAATGTTCACAAAGTTTGGTTTCTTTAGCTTGATATACATGGAAGATAAAAAGAAAAACATTTTTTTTTTTAATTTTTGGAGGGGTGGAACTTTTCAGGAACTTTTTCAAAAAATTTTATACCAAAGACCCCTATTATTTTTCATCATAGAATCGCCCCTTACATTTTTTCGGTGATATTTAGATACACCTGGTACATATATCACAATTCCACTGCAAACAAATGTTTTTTATTTTACATTACGAAGTAAATTTGGTGGAACATCAACATAATGTTTTGTTCCAATCACCTCTTTAAGAAATTGTGTCAGCTGTAGAAAATACTGGGTTTATCAGTAAATTTCCATTAATTGGGAAAATATAAAATGTAATAATTTTTTAACTTTATCATCAAAAAAGGGAAAACGTTCATATAAAATCATATTTATTCACAAAAGTACTCTCAAGTATAACGTTTAATCAAAACTGACTCTGTATCCTGTAGGCAGGGTTTAAATCCTGTATTAGCAGAATTAATGCCGAAGATACAGAGTGTTGGAAGTTTGACTGCCTTAATTTTAACAGATGATAGAATACAATAAAATAAACAAAAAACTTATATGACATGGTTCCTAAACTCAACCAGTTCCGAGAAAAAAATGATCAAAATCGCCAACTTAATGTACAAAAGTTCGATTAATTAAGGAATATTACACATAACTGCGTGCATAGAATACCATAAAATACAATGTTTATCACTTTTTTGAACTTCATG